TGAGCCATTTAAGTAATGATATTAATAATTATAATGGTAGCTATGCGGGCCGTGAATTAGTGTCCTCGAAACGGTCATTGGTTTTACAAATTTGTCTGGGCAGGTGAAAACCCCACTGGACATTTTGACAGCTGTCAGAGGACACATTTGTTAGAGTTGCACGACTAACAGATCCTGTCAAATTACGCATTGACAGGATGCGAATATTTATTCTATCCGCACAGTTTTTATTTATTATTTCACACCTAAGTGTGTTGAACAGCAGACGGGGCGAACCCCATAGTCACGAGGACCAGTTGTTCAGTAATGACGAAAACCGGCAACCTAGGCCTCGCAGGACTTGGAGTGGCGAACCACATAAGGCCCCGATAGGTTAAGCATGGTATTGAACCGGACGACATCAGAGCTGCCTAACACCAAAATCGGGTGGCGGAGGCGGGGCTCAAACCCCGAACCATAGGGTTCAGAGCACACCAGTGAACGGGCGACTAAACCACTGCGCCACCCCCACCAAACGATAGATCCATTACCCTTGTCACTTGTCAATTTCCTCTACTGAATAACGCCTTCTACTCCCTCCCTTCTCTGCCCTCTCCGAATATTCCAATAAAAAAGGAATAATAATGAAATGAGTAATCGCACGTTTACGTAACAGTAATCATATTTTTTCCACTTCATGTTTCAGGTGAAAGAATTCGGCGGCCCGTTCGAAATCGTCTCGTTGGTTGGGACGTTAGATTGTGAGGGACAGCCGCATCTTCATATCGCACTGGCCGATTCCACCGGAGCTGTATGTGGCGGGCATTTGCTTGGACCGAGTCGTATTCATACGACAGCAGAATTAGTCTTGGGTGTTGTCGATTTTGCCCCAACAAAGACTGTGACTACGAGTTCACCTAGCGCGAAAGAACTCAAACGACCTGCGTCCAAAATGACGGCCGAAGTAGAAGGGGAACAGCCGCTTAGTTTGTCCACCAGTCTGTCTCCGAAATCACCGACAGATCATTCGGATGTCACTGCGGCTTCAGTGGATGCGCGAAGTAAAACTCCAAGACTGGAATCTCAGTTACGTATTCGATTGGTGCGTAAAACTGACCCGAGCACAGGCTTCAAAGAGTTGACTGTGGAGTCGACAGGCGCTGCAGTTTGATCGATTGCGGTTGTCGTTTCATTTGAAGCCAATTGATACCCAATGGCCTCCGTGACACAGACAGACAGACATGATGCTCAGAACTAACTGGATGTGCTTCCTGATCCGATCCCTATCAATCCAGCCTCCGCACGTGAGAACAAATCTCTGCAAATACGTTACCATATGGTGTTCTCATGATACGTAGATATTCCTCATTTGAAACGCTTGAGTTACGATCGCCCCCCCCCCAGTTCTTCCTTATTCTTTGAGTGTTTTTTCACCCTTCAAATCGAAGCGTTTCACGTGCTCTGGCGTGCGTGCGTGCATGCGTGAGTGTATGTATATATGTAGACATGCTGTGAATTGTACTCTTCTCACATTCCCATTAAATTACGTATACTCACATACTCACACACACACACACACACACACACATACATACCTAGACAGAGCTACAACTCATGTCAGATATATTAAAAACAACTTGTGAACTTCTGTCCCTCATCTTCTTCTTCTTCGCTTTTTTGTTCCCGTTATCATGACGACAAAAAACCATACACCATTTACTCCCGATATAATGGGTCATGTATCTCAATTTCTCGTGGATCCGTTAGGAACAGACAAAAATTCGGCTGTTCGTGTACAGTGGAAATAATTGAACCTGACTGATGAGCCAGCCATCACAACCGAACCGACATTTCCGTCACTCATTTTGCAAACAAGCATGGCATATCCAGTTTGGGATTCTCGTCCCAGTTCATCATATTCTGGACAGACAATGGAATATAACCATTTCGGATTTCCCTTCCTTTATTTGTTCCAACAAATCAATTAAGTGACTGTGCGCATACCCTTCTGACCATGCTTCTCACTGTGTTCCGTCGGCTTCCTCGGCTGTTCCCGGGATGTTTTTGTCCTCGTCCGTTTGCACTTGCATGTATCAATCCTTGGCTGTTGTAAGGTCGTAACGGTGGCTTCGCGTGTTGAGTATCTCTCTCTCTGTTTACCCACATGTGATGGACACTGGAACTCCAGACACACTGAAGGTGCACTCACTTATCGGCACATTTTTTGCCATCGACCAAACACAACATACCGGGGCGCGCGCGCGCGCGCACCCACACCCACACACTTCCTGATCGGTTTACACGTGCAACAATTGTCACCATGCTTGAGTCCTCCCGTGTACAGCATCAGACATTTATTTTCCTCATTTTGACCTTCGTTACACATTCACAAACAATCAGAATCAAATAACACGGAGAATCAATCAGTCTGTGCCAGCC